AGGACCTGAACGTAAAAGTGTGAAAATTGACGACAGAAACAGAACAATCACAGCATATCATGAATCGGGTCATGCTATTGTTGCTTACTATACCAAAGATGCAATGCCAATCAACAAAGCTACAATCATGGCACGAGGACCGACTCTGGGACATGTAAGGATTTTTAAAACTAAATTTAGGATATGTTTAGTTAACCTTTTTTTAATTGTCAAGAAGTTTCTCACCAATGCAGTGCCACTAAAGCAGGAGTGGGCAATTATTTAGGCTGGAGGGCTACTTAAGGAGTTTAGGTGAGTTGTTGGAGGGGTGGGAGGCACAATTGATCCTATCCTGGGGCCAGGATCATGAGGTGGTGACAACACAGGGCTGGTGACCCAGAGCAGAGCTGCAATCTGTTCTCTGCTCATCCCTGCAATTAGTGCTGGTTCTGCAGGCAAGGAGATCTGTGGGGAGTAGATTGCAGCTCGGCCCTGGCCCTGGCTCTGGTCCTGTGCTGTCACTACCCCCACAGTCGTGGCCCTGCTTGTCCATCCTGTTCCTGGATGCAACTCCTCACCTGCCAGCAGCCTCATCCCATCCAGCCAGCCAAGCATGCCCTACTTGCATGGGTCCCAGGCTGGACTCCATGGGGACTTCACACAACTGCCCACCCCATCTGGCACCACCAGCAGTGGGTGTGGGGCAGTGGGACCAGGTTTGGCAGCAGAGACACTGGCAGGAGCAGCCAGACAAGGGACTACTGGGAAGCTGAGTCCAGCTGCTGTGCTTCTTCCCCCCCCCACCCCCCCCATGCATCCAGGGGTGGTGGGACTGGCTGCATACACCATGGCCTGGGCTGCCCCCTGTGCCTGCACCAGGTGTGGTTGAGGGCCAGATAGAATCCCTTGGCAGGCCAAGTTTGGCCTGTGGACTGTATTTTGCCCACCCCGTGCTAAAACATGTCGTAGTGCTACAGAATTACTCTAATAAGCTAACATTCATCTACTAAAAAGATGCACAAAGAGAGAAATAGTCCCTGTTGCTTTTTCTGGCTTGGTGTTCCCATTTCCTACAGTTAGAGAAATGCTGCCTTTAACTTCAGGCCTGCTAACAATTGGTAGTGGTTGAAGCTTGCAAGGAATGAATCTTATATGCTGGTGGCTTCCTGGATTATTTCAGATAGCATAGTAGCCAAGGACAAAGCTCTTACAGAGTGGCTAGGGGGGAAAAAGATCCATAAAGCACACCTCTTCATAGAAAGTTCATTAAAGCCCACATTTTTTTCAAGGGTATTTTGTCTAAAAGATGTTGCTGTTTAGTCCTTTGTATTGGTTTTAGGACAGACCTAATCCCTTTGCTATTTCTATCCTGTTCCTTAAAAATGTCATAGAGCAATGTGACTTGTTTCCTGTTGTGTTTTAAATATCCATTCAACTTAGTGTGTTCAATCAGTTGTGACTGATCAGGATCCTCTGGACAAGCTGACCTGTGCTCAGTGCACAAATACAGGGAATAGGAAGGAAGTGAATTCCTTTGAAGTTTGAACCTGGCCTTGGTTGTTGACTTCAGATATGTCAGCTCTTAGCTATTCTATTTAAATTCCAGTTTTTCATCTCAGAAGGCTGGTCCAGCAGCATCCCAGTCACACCTCCTCTGACAGTAGTAGTGTGGGACTCTGGGAATGATCAAATACTTGCTGTATGTCTACTTTGGACTAGTCAGAGCAACCCCAACAGAGTAAATCTCTAACCCATAGTATTTGCAGACTTTGATCACAGTCTTTTTCCTTGTACTGTAAGTGACCATCATTTTACACATTATAGGTGTCTCTGCTACCAGATAATGACGGATGGAGTGAAACTAAATCCCAACTGCTTGCACAGATGGATGTTAGTATGGGAGGGAGGGTAGCAGAAGAACTCATATTTGGAAGTGACCACATCACAACAGGCAAGTAGAGAGCTGTGTCTAAAGAATCTGTCAATGGATATTAAGTTTTTTTTATGTAGCTTTTGGTTTTGTTAAGACTAACTTCACTTTGTATGTGTTTTAATATCTAGGTGCTTCTAGTGACTTTGACAATGCTACTAAAATAGCAAACATGATGGTGACTAGATTTGGAATGAGTGAGAAGGTAAAATTGGTCAATTAATCATCCAGGGTTATTGAAATTGTGCAAAAACAAAATTGTGAAAGATCGGGCTCCATAGAAATCAAAACAGTCTGCTAACTGATGGTAAAAAATTGAAGTTAATGACTTGACTGGTTAAAAGTTCCAACTCTGACAGAATATAAAGTTGGCTTTCTTGTTGAGTTCAGAATATTCTGTAGATTAGAAATCTTTGTATTAAGCAGATTTCTTTAAGAAGCCTTGCTAATCCTTATTGAAAAGTTTACAGTAAAGACCCATTGCTTCAAAAGTTGAAGGTAAATTTTAGTCTTTGGTAGCATTTTGAAGGTATATTGGGGAGAAATCTGTTTTTCAGACTTTCAGACAGATTGGCATAAATAGTTGAAAAAAAGTGGTGAAAAACAGTAAAATGCCAAACCCAAATAGAAGGTACTATTAATGGAAGCTAGATTGTCTTTGTGAAATATAATCCTTCAGTGACTTCATAGTTCATGCCTTTCTTTGACTTGTGGATTTTTACAAGGTCCTTTAAAAAAGGACTTGTATATTTTTCTCATTTACCAGATTTATTTATGTACGTCTTGGGCAGGGGTGCATGTTTTGTACAATGCTCTGAATATCACCAGTGTTTTATTGAAATGGATCATATTTTTGTTTCTGGTGACCAATTTTTTGTTTAGCTTGGTGTCATGACCTACACTGACGCAAGGAGACTTAGTCCAGAAACGCAATCTGCAGTTGAAGAGGAAGTAAGAACACTTTTAAGAGTAAGAATTGTGTTTGCCTATATTTACTTATCACATGTAAGAGAGGGGCTGAACAACTAAATAGGTTAATATATAACTTAATAATATGCATTACTTTACAAAGTACAGAAATGTTCTTAAAATTGCACCTGTATTGAATATGAAACCATCTCTTCACATTTAATTCCCTTGAACAGTTGTTAATAGTATTTGGTTTATAATGAAGATGTGTAGAGCAGGTTGGCTAGGTTATCCAAACTCTGGATGTATTCATTATTTACATAACTGCATTTACAAGAGAGTTGTGTTATGGTAAATTAATGTGGTAGCTTCACTAAATACCATGCCACTATTTTAGATTACAGGAGGGATTGTTTTTTCATTTTCATGCTACTGCATTTACTCAACTGTAAGACAAGGTTCCCTGCCCCCACCGATCAGCGTAAGGGGGAAAAAGCCCCTCGTCTTATATTCATATGTGAAGTGGAGTGGGGAGCAGGCTGCTGCTGCACATGCACAGCAGCCTCCTGCCCCTTATTTCGCTTCCCCTCTGCAATTTCTCACCCTCCCCCTTACTGTCAAGCATAGCTTGGCTCCGGCTCAGGCTGAAGTCACTCCTGGGCATAGAGAACATGAAAACTTTCCCCTGCTCCTCCAGTCAACAGAACTGACAGTGCTGCATTACCTGCCTGGCCACTCAGCAGCGCCAACACAGCTACATTGCCAGCCAAGAGCTAAGCTTCCATGAGCTGTGTTCCAAGTTCCTGGCTTGGGCAGCATCTAAAAGTAAGGGGCAGGGGGGTAGAGGCAGAGACTGGGAGGAAGTGGGGGAAGGGGCAGAGGCTTAGCCAGGCTTCAGGGGGAAGAAGTAGGTGGGGCAGAGGGCAAGGGGGCCACCTAACTCCCCCTCCGCCCGCCACTGATTTCCCTGCTGTGGTAGTGGGGGCTGGATGGGAATTGAGACAACCCTCCAATACTTAGATTATGTACCTGGAAAATTATAACATTTATAAATTTTCCATGTATGGGGTCATTGTCTTGTATTCATGGTCATCTTATATGCGAGGAAATATAGTAGTTCATAGCTTTCACCTAAGCATTTTCATATAAATCTCAGTAATTCTAGCAGTTATAGGAAAGAGTTCATTTAGAACTCTACAGTCATGGTTTTGTGGAGTGTTTTGTTTGGTTTACAGCTTTTACTTTCAATAGGCATTTGAGAAGTATTTTGGGGAATAATCACTTTTATCTATATACATTGAAACTGTTAACAGTACTGATATTTATGAAATGCTGGTTTATTTAACATCATCCCAGATTCTTGTGGCTGTTTTTAGGCTTAGACATGGTAGTGATGATAGGCTCTTCAGATGATAACTCTAGTAAAGCTACTGTTCAGGATAACTGTTCAGAAAAAAAAATTACCTAAAAATGAATTCTGCATTAATTTGTCAATTTTCTTTTTTAACATTTTGCGGCTGGGCTGCTTCTTGTGAGCTACAGCAATATTCAGAATTGTGAAATGGCTTACAAGTTTTGTCCTGTGTAGTCTAACAGAGCTGAGTTTACAGCTTGACTTGTACAGAAACCTTAATTGAGGAAAAGACTTTTTAATCTGCTAACTTTTCCAAATTTATTAAAGATTTGTTTGGGGTTTTTTTTTTTTTTAAATAGTACATACAGACCTGCAGAATCACTTGCTTATCCAAGCCGCAAGCCCCATTTCTGCAAGGATATTAACATGGGTGTAAAGATTAATATGAAAGTAAAAACTTTGAAATCTCTGGGGCATACACAAAATGATTCAGTTAAATAAGTCTTGCTGTAAGTAAATCTTGGGAATGTGCGGTGTACTTATCTCTAATTGTACCAACTAAAGACTATAGTTTTTTAAATAAGCTGGTTTTGTTATGGTTTTTTAAGGTTTTGGGGTTTTTTTTATTTAGGATTCATATGAACGGGCGAAGAACATCCTGAAGACGCATGCAAAAGAACACAAGAATTTAGCAGAAGCCTTATTAACATATGAGACTTTGGATGCCAGAGAAATCCATGTGGTTCTAGAGGGGAAAAAACTAAAATGAGATGACAACTTCTTCAAAACTGATACTTTGAAAAATGAACCTCTAAGAATGCAGTAGTCTCCTTATGCAGCGTAGCTTTTTTGTTTCTGGTGTGTGTATTGTATTAATGACATTTTCTTAAGGTTATTAAACATTGTCTTTCAGCTTTTTGGTTACAGTTATTTAATTTTTATTGTCTCAGAATGAGGCAGGAGGAATAAAACAAGTTCCCACTGGAAGAAAAGGTCAGAAATATAAAATCTCAGGGTGAATCCTGCTTGTTGGAGACCTCAAACAAATATTAAAGATTAAAAAAGGGAGGGAGGGAGAATACTGTCCAAAATGCATTTTTATTATTATGCTGCTATATGTAGATCTGAAGTGGTGACATCTTAATATGTACAGCATGAAGTTTTTCAGAATGTGAACTCATAAGTGCTAAAAGAATTATCCATGTAAAATAATACTAACCTTAATCAGAGTAATGACGTTTTTACATTCACAAACAGCAAAGCGCAGTTTTAAAAAGCTTACTGCCTTTGTTTCTGAGGGACAGTAAGGCAATATGTAAAGGGGATACATCATGCATTTATAGTACAAGGAATTGTGAGGGCTCCAAAACAGATAAGTTGTTAGCAATTGTACGTCCACTGCTCTTAGAATTTAAACATATACCTACACATGGCTAGTAAAAAATAAATAAATAGAAAGGAATTGGCTCTGTCTGTGAGCAAAACATGCCTGTCTAAAACTTTAGACCATGTAAAAAGTACCATTCGTCCTAACAAAATTCTGCCAGGGTTAGGAAAATACAGTTCTGTGGCATCTGATATGCTGCTGACAAGAATTGCTTATGTTTTATTAATGTCATAGGTGGTATGATTTGTTGGCAGTGCTTTTATATTGTTGGGTATACAGCTGCATTGGTTTTTACTATTGCGTATGGCCTTTGATAATCCAGTGAAGGATTTATTCAAAAAGGACAGGTATTACTTGGCAAAAAGTGGTTGTCCAGAGAGTGCTTCCAGTGATTTCTTCCTTTCAACATTCCCTGTTACTTTAATAAAAGTAAGGAAAATCCAGTTGTTTTATTTTAACTCGTGCACTTTCATGAAAATCCTAGAACCGTAAGAAATGGAAGCAACCGTTAGTTAGAACTAAGTTACAATAAAGTGAAAATGGTTGCTAGCTGCATTATACAACAATCTCATTTCCCAGTTCTAATGAACACTAATGTCAATTTTCCTTTAAAAAAAAAAAAAAATTCAATATAAGAATCAAATGCAGAAAATTTTTACCATCCCCTTTTTCTATTTGTAGACATGGCCTTCATTAGAGTATTAATAGTAAAGGTTAAAGTAGTTTGTGCTAATAAATGTGAAAACTGAAATTGGTAACGAAATCTAACCTAGAATTAACCACAGGGTTTTAAGATCTTTTTTGACAATATAACAGCTATAGCCCAATTCTTTTTATGAGCTGAGAATACATTTTCCCTTTTTTTTCCCCAAGCCAATGCTAGAGTACAGTTTATTTCTTGTTTGCTATGTTGTTTTTTCATTCAGTCACTTTTAATACCATGATATCCCAGTGCAACGTGGAAGAATTTCAAAATACTGCAAAACAGTGCACCAAGCTATGAGGTTGGCTAATTACAAACTCTTTTGTATTTCAGAAACATGCCTTCAAAAACATACAAATAGAGCATATTTGGCTTCTATTTTTGGAATAATAAAAGGTTTGTTTTAATCATGCACATTGCTTTTCTTTTTCACCATAAATTGCTACAAAATGTAATACTAAGTTCCTTTTCTGTAAATTGAGGTGTATAAAACATTTAAGCTTGTAAATAAATGTAAGCATTATGACAAACTTGTACTTTCTTTGATTAGACTTCTAAAAAATGTGAGTGGGGGGTGTTCCTTAGGATTCTGAAAATACTTTCTTCAATTCCTGCTTTGGTAATTAGTTGGACTTAATATGGAACTTTCTTATTGCAAACAAATGTGAATTTTATTTAAAAACAGAAAAAAACTCTTGCCATTTTTTAAGTCAATAAAATCTATATTATATTATCTATTTTGTGGACTTGTATAATACTCAAAGGCTACTATTCTTGTTCAGTTTTTCTTCTGTCTTCAATCCCTCTTTCAAGAATGCTTTATTGTATCAGCTGGATGCAGCTCTCTTTTGAAATCTTGATATTATTTATTCCATGTGCTCGTAAAAGGAAACTAGAAGAGAAAAGTTGTTATTTTTTTAATTAGTCCCAGTGTCTTCACATGGATACTATGAAAGGTTCATGCTATTGAACTTTTTTCTGGTCTATTGCTGGGACAGTGTATACACATGACCATTTGTAGCTAGAATTGCATCTAAAAATTCCTTAGCACAGATTGGTATCTCAGTACTTTAGCAGCAGACAAAAGTAGTTAGTCTTGTTAGTCTGAAGACAGGCAGAACGCAAAGTACAGATGAACCTTATAGAATAATTAAATGCGAGATGCTTGTGAGCCCAAATTTACTTCATCAGATGCTAATCTCGATAAGGTGCATCTCCACCCTACCTTATCCCAGTACTCTAGTCATCAAATCAATTGATACAGAGTGATGACAAGTGCTGTATGCTTGGCTAGTGAAGATAGAAAAGGGACTTGCCACATTCTCCTTGGAAAGATGCTCATGGCTTTCATGAGGATGTTTGATGCATTGCATGAGAAATACCACGTTCTGTGATCGACAGATAAGATTTGTAGATTCTGATGGTTTCATTGTCGGATGTGTTGACTTACGGTAGCAATGGGGATGCGTTGATAGATTTTGCATTTGCTGTTCAGGCAGGGTTGTGTCTGTATGCTGTCTGTTGGCCAGCAGGGAGTTTGCTTCTGGTGATGAGTTGGGCAAAGTTTGGGGGCTGTTGGAAAGTCAGGAGTTGGGGTAAGGAAAGGGTTTAGTAATATTTCTTTTGGCATCTGATCCTCTTCAAGTATTAGCTGAAACTGTTTGATCCTTCTTACAGGTTTTGCTATGGGATAGCGTGTGACAACTAGGGATATGCAGTTAGTGGTGGGGTGTACTTCTTGTATTGTAGTAGGTGGGGGGAGGTACTTGGGTAGGTTGTTTAAAAAAATATTTTTGCTGGAGTGTCTCTCCTGAGTTAAAGGCAGTCTTTAGTTGGCTGTCACAGGTATTCTTAGAGGAAATGTATCTGGGAACCTGGCTATAGATAACTGCTTTCTTGATATGTTTGGAATGGTTACTGTTTTTGTGGAAGTAGGTTGTGGTCTGTGGGCTTTTTGTAAATTGTGGTTTGTAGGGTGCCATTGTGGAACAATAATTGTAGCATCTTGCAGGTCAATGTTAGCCTAGGATTATTCCAGAGAAAATTTGATAATAGGGTGGTAGTTGTAGTTATTGAACATGCTTAGGGAATTTCAGGCGTTCAGACCACTGAATAAAAAGGTAACCTTTTGTATGGTGACATTTGATGGTGCAGTTTTCTAATCATTCCTCTTTGAGGTGGCTTATGAGGGGGTTGGCATATTGGGGAGCCATCTTTATGCCCATAGCTTAGCTCAGTTTTCTCCTTCGTATTGTTAAATCTGCAGCTTTTAGTACTCATGGAAGTTGTGTGACAGTATTCATGGAAGTTGTTCCCATATGTTCCTCCTCTTCTGTGCCTCTGCTAGTAAGAAACTGGATGTAATCTGGCGTATGTCTCAGGAAAGTTTTCAGGAACTGGTGCAGATGTATACAGCATTAGACTATGATAACTAGTATTTGTCCTCTGGAATGATTCAGTAGCTGGGATTCCCAAGACGGCCCTAAAACATGGAAACAGAGAGCACGTGGCTCCTGTGTAGTGGTGCTGAGGTTGTAGTTGAGGACATTACTTGCATTACTCTAAATGGTCCAAGATTTAAATGTGTGGTTCATTTTACATGTTGTTAGCCCATACTGGAAATATTTAAGTTAATTTAAAAGGTGGCAGTATGCCAGGTAAAGTCACAGGCTGACATGGCAAATAAGCCTTAGGATTCTAGAAATGGGAGGAAAAGTTTAATTTGGAATCGCTGAAATATGCTGTGTTTGGTTAATGTTAATTAGATGACCTCTTTTGGACATGGCTTATCTGGGTTTAACTCAGTGGGACGTGTGGACTGAAGAAAGCTAGCTTTGCTGTATTGGGTGTTATACACTGTCCCCTGGGAACCCACGATTCAACATGACACCACTAGGACTTCATCCTGAGTCTGAAAGATGTCCTGATCTGATTAGATCAGAGAGAGGGAACAAATACCATCATTACCTTCTCTAGCTTCAGCTAGCAGTGGTGTCCCTCAGGTCCATGCTTGGACCAGTGCTTTTCAAGATCTCGATCAATGATTTGGATGGGGGAATGAAAAGCTCACTGGTCAAGTTCATGGATGACACCAAGTTATGGGGCAGTGTGGTCATGCCAGAAGGTAGGATGCAGATGCAGGTAGACCTGGACAGGGTCAAGAGTTAGGCAGACCAGATGAAGTTCAACATTTTCAAGTGTAAGGTGCTCCATCTGGCGGCAAACAACCCTCAACATACATACAGGCTCAGTGGTGACAGCTTGACTTGCACCATGACCAAAAGGGACTTAGGGGTAATGATTGACCATTGCATGAATATGAGCCGTCAGCGTGAGGCAGTGGTCAGCAGGGCAAACAACACACTGGCATGCATCAACCAATGCATCTTGTGTAAAACTAAGAAAGTGATACTCCCACTGTACTCAGCACTGGTGAGACCGCAGTTGGAGTAC